CGCGCCGAAAGGTCGAGAGCGGCCGCTTGGATCATACCAAGTGTGAAGGCGGGCGGGGAGGGGCGGAAGAACAGCTTGGGCCGTACTAAGCGGGGGAGGGGGACCGAGGTACCAGAGGCCGGGCTGGGGTGTCACTGCTCGTCGCCGCAGAAGTGAGATGGCGGGGCCTGCGAGAGCCCCCCGCGTCAGGGCTGGGGCCAGGCAGCTGTGACCAGGGCCAGGCGGAGGTGTTGTCCTCTCAGGGGTCTCTCTGCCCCCATCCCACGCGCTGCGGAGGCAATCCCAAGCGAGGGGGCCAGGTCTGGGGCCTGGCTCCTGGGCTGAGGCCTGGAGGGCAAGCAAAATGACAGGTGGCCTTGTGTGGGTGTCCCTGCTGCCCAAGGAGACAGGCGCACCCAAATGGGTGGGCAGGTTGTGCTGCCTGTCCGCTGGCCGGGGCCATGGGCATCTCCCCTGGCAAGTGGGACGTGGAGCCGTGCCATGGCAGCCGGTGCAGCAGGCCCGAGCGGTGCTGCTGGGTGGCACCGGGAGGATGAAATGGAGGTCACCACAGCCCAAACCTCCAAATCTCTGCTACTGACCACTCTGCGGATGTTAAAAAACTCCCTGTGCCTCCACTGGATTTGATCAAGGAGATACTGCAACAGAGAGAGCAGCTGCATGCATCTCCTGGTTATGGAAGATTTTGTCAATATATTAACCTGCAGCAATAAACACCTTCATGCTTGAGCTAGTGCTAGTTGGGGCTTGAGTGCTGTGTGAAAATACAGGTATGTTTGAACCAGCTGGGTCACAACTGTATGTCCATCTTCTGTGTTTCTTTCTGGTACACCCTACACCCAGAACTAACCCTGCCCATGGGAGCTGCGCTGCCCAGCCCCTGGCAGTAGTCACACTTTGGTACCATTATGCTCTCTCATCTCTCGTAGCCAAAATGCTGGTACTGGAACACACTGGGTAAATGTTTCTGTTGCAGTGATCAGCAGTGAAACCAGGACATTTCAGCATTAGGTTTCAGAACCGAGCTGGCCATTGAGATAGGGCATCCCGGGCCAATCTTTTTGCTTCCTGAAAAGCATATATGTTATTCTACACTGTATGCTCATTTAAAAGGTTCGCTTGCAGCAGACAGGGGGAAAAGCACACATATTTTCCACTACAAAAAATCCACACAAGCTTGAGCTAGGGCCGTGGGGAACAGTTGTGGACCAGTAGTGTGAACTTGCGCCGAATTACTTTGCCCCAGAGTTGCAGAGCTCTCCAAAACTATCAAAGTCCTCATTTTGCGGAATCTCCTTTCCAGAAAATTCTGCACCGGGAGCGTGGGAGGAGAGGAAGGTAGTCGAGTCCCATTTCGGACAAAAGCCCCTGGCTTCAGCTGTCCCCGCAGAGGCAGGCGGTGATCCCCTGCCCGGCGGACCGCAGCCAGGCCGCGCCGGAGCTTCCCGGCGGTGCCCCTGCCCGGCGGACCGCAGCCAGGCCGCGCCGGAGCTTCCCTGAAAGCCTCCAGCGACTTTACCGGAGACCGCCGCCCGCAGGCGGCTGGCAGGACAGGCGTTGGGCGAGCGCCCGCAGCAGCGTGGGGGAGTCCCAGCCGCCGGAGCCGGGCTCAGGCAGCGCTGGGGCAGCTGCCGGGCCTGGGACGGGAGTTGCAGAGGGCAGGAGCGGGTGTGCCCTGCAGGGAGCAGGACCTGTGAGCTGTCGGCTCCTCCAGCTGCGGTAAGATCGAGCTGTGAAAGGAACACCGTCAGAAAGAAACCCGCCCTGGTCAATTCTTTGGTTGGTGTCCACGTAATTCGTTTTCTTCTATAGAGGAGTTAGTGGGGGGAGTTTATTCCGGATAGCGCATGCTATTAAGTTTAATTTAAAACAGAGCTAGGAAAAGTTACGTAGGTTTATTTTGCTATGATTTGGCTAAGTCCAGAGTGATACAGCAGTGCCAGTCAACAAATCTGCACGTAAGTAGTGAGTCAAGCTCCACAAAAGAAAGAAGGCCAGCTTAGAAACACAGTAACACCAAAGTTAATACTTACACGTCGCTCTTTTTATTTGCCCACTTGTCTCAATCTGATTCATATTTTAAAAGTTGTCTCTGCAATGCGAGGACCAGAACTTACTATCAGTAGACATGCATTATTATCAGTGTTATATTTGATCATAGATGCATGATACACATGGAATCAGATAATCTTATGTAAATAGAAAATGCGAGGAGAGACAGCTTTAAAAAAAATAAAAAGAGAGTTAGCGATACTGCAGATGATACTAGTCCAAAACCAAAATTGTCATATCCTTAACAGGTGTTCCATTTAGCACACTGGACAAGACATCTGATACCTGAATAATTATGTTCAGGAGCAAAGCATTCGGTCTGTTAAAACCGATTCCCTCAATGTCTGGCCAGCCAAATTTGGCTTATAAATTTATTCATCCAGCTATTGCTTCTCATGGATATCACTGTCACAGGAGAAGTGTGGATTACAGACAGAGGTACAAGACATGCCCAGGTAGTGCTGGAGGACGAACAGTAAGCGCTCCTCAGACCAAGGTTGGTATCTGGAGAGCCCACTTCCCTCTGCAAAGTTCCTTTAAGTGGTTTTAGTTTACTGCTGTCAATATAATTTTTTAAGATTGTACCTGGTACTAGCAGAACCCCAGGTCTTGAAACAAAGCTGCAGTCTATGAATGGTTCACGCATGCATCAAACATGTCTGAGATTGTGGTGGCCTCAGCATGTCCACACTAATGAAAAGATTAATTACATGCAACTAGCCTGGTTCTAGTGCATCATCTGGTTTGTTTAAAGCTAAACCAGCTCTCGCTGCGCTGCACTGTGTCTTCCTCATGAATTATCTTTCTGCTTGTGAAGTTTAGAAAGTGCTTCTAAAATGATTGCGGATCTGACTCTGACCTTCATGAGTGATGTATTGTAATGGAGGAGGAATTGGTGATGAAATCGAATGGTGTAATACAGTGCTGCCTTACTGGCATCTGCCAGTCAGTTGATCATATCTGGCACCCAGTTTTCCATCACTTAACAGCATAAGGTTTAGTTGCCATCCTGTCTGAGTAAGTTGCTGCAGGAGCATCAGGTTCTGATCATCAAGAAGCTGGACAACGCTGTCACAATTTGACATCAAATCTTGTCTTTTATTCTATGCGTCATTCATTCTGGAGGACAAATCTAGTTTATCCTTCTAAGGTCATGTTGTGTGATACTCTAAGAAACATACAGACTTCAGCTGGGGAAATTTGCACCATTTTCACAACCTTATGGGGCTGACAGGGTTCAAAATACTTCAGTTGGCAAGAAATAGATTACATATATTTAAGAAAGTGGTATTCCTTTGCAATATGGTTGCACTGTTCACCTCATTGCTTTGTTTGCTGCTGTTCAGAACCAGTTAGTGTTATCGGAGACACTGTTCGTGGTGAACTGCAGACCTGTCGTAACATGGAGGCCCCTTCTAGCCCATGTACAGCAGCAGACTGGAACTGAGGCAGAAATGCAGGTCAAGGCCAGGATAAAGCAGTATTACTGGTGTCGAGATTGTAAGCATTTAATAGATGCAGTTGGGATAAGACTGAGTTTGCTCAGGACAAGGGTAAATACGGTTTGACAGAAACTTCCCATCTACATTGATGCCTTTTTGTCACAGGTTTGAACTCTGGTTACTCGCTGAAGGCTTGTGTAAGAGGACTGAAGCAGCAGGAAATCTCTGCCCAGCACTGTGTGCCCAGAATAAAGCGGCACACTGCTGTGGAAAATTGTTCTGATCCAGTTAGCACAACGTCAAGTTTCCTGGACCCAAGTCTAGGACACAGTATGGGATAGAGACCTAAAGCGAGTGGAGCACGGCAAACAGAATTGTAGGAGATTAGACACGAATGTTGTTAAGACATGCAGCAAATCTTCAGCTACCATTTTTGTCAATAAGGGCTGCATCTAATTAGGTGTGTGGCTATCTGTGGAGCCCCTATCTTATTGAAGGATACAATACATTTGCATGGGTGTTGCAGAGAGGACTGGACTCAAAACTGTCTGGGCAGGGGAAAAGCTCTAGTATGTAGGACTGTGTTGTCAGTGGGACTTACAGTATCACCTCTAGTGCTTTTCCCCACTGGTTCAGCGTATAGGCGTGGGTGTGCTACATTTTGCAGGAGGTAAGTTCAGGTACAGATCTGGATGGTTAAAACACTGAAGGCAAGCAGTGTAGCAGCTGTCCAAGGATGGCCCTTCCTCGTGCAAATTTGTTAGACCTATACCATTCCTGACAGATGTTTGTCAGACCCATGTGAGCCTCGCGTCTCCCTACACTACCTGCGGCTTCACCAACCGTAATCAATAGGCAAGGAACTTTGAGTAACTTTCTAGCAGCCTCTGCTTCTCACCACTGCTTATAGAAATGAATTTGTGAATGAGATTGAGAAGCTACCAGATTTGTGTGAAATCAATATTGATTCAGGACTAAAATGAAACTATTTGAGAACACCACCTTGTAGGACTGGATTTAGATCTAAGGGGGCAGATATTCCTTCGTGTTATAGTCTAAATCAGCACTTGGTGAAAATACTGGGAAGTTGTCTAATGTACCACGCTAGTACTAAGTGACTGTGGGTTTATTCTGTATTGAGTTCCATCAGTTTCCTGTTTTACAGATGTGAATTTAAATGATCACTACAGCATCATTTACACTACACTACACTCCTTTAAGGGTGTTCTCCTAAACAAAGGAGTATTTCTTCTATTCCCCTGTTGCAGGTCATGGCAGAAGAGTTGCCAGGTGTTTTGATTCTGGATATAGGAGGAACTCATGGTGTGCTAGAAAACCTTGCAGCACTTTTGAAGAAACACTTTCGCCTTATCACCATGAAGGAATTTCTTGAAAACAAAAAAGAAATGAGCAAAAAAATCCAATCTGTTTTCGTGTTTGAGTGCAGGCCAACTATTGACCAGGAGCTTCTAGAAAGCCTGCCTAATTTAAAAGTAATTGGAAACTCTGGGGTTGGAGTTGATCACTTAGACTTGAAAATGATTTCTAACTTTGGCGTAAAAGTGACCAACACCCCACAGGCCGTGGCAGACCCAACAGCAGACATAGGAATGGCCTTGATGCTGGCCTCTGCCAGAAGACTAGTGGAAGGTAATGTTTTAAATTTTCCTGGATCTTAGCTACTTCTTTGGCATATCTCACTTTTACTATGATACAGATGATCTGTCCAAATCAATATTTGGGATGCATTTACAGGGAAAAAAATTTCTGAGGACTCAATTTTCAGAAGCCTGTGCTTTTCCTACATCCTGCTTTTTTTTAAGGCAATGGTGACAAGAGTAAGGCCTTTGTCTAAATTATGCATTTTAAAGTCACTTTTCATAGCCTGTTTGGAATAATGTCTGGGGCTTAATTCTCCTCTGGCTGTTCACTGGGTGGGTTGTTTATAGCTGTAAAAACTGAATACAAAATGCATCCAAATCAAATGTCACCACTTCGCCATTTCCCCTTGGAACAAGTGTTAGGAGCTACAGGAAAGTACAAAGCATTAATGGCCATGTCCACATCTCTAGAGCAGTAATTAGTATAACTCTTCATTTTTTTCCTGCTTCTGCAAAGAGTTTGTCTAAACCAAGGGTTGTATTTCCAGAAGAGCATCACCATTGTTATTGAAGTAGCTGATAATCCTTTTGACAAAGTTATTCCAAACTGTACCACCAACATTAGCTTGTGTCCTTAAAGGTAGGTCCTTTCCCTGCATGCCCTTGCTACGCAATGCCTTTCAGGGGAAGGAAGGTGTCAGTAGAGACTATCACAAGAACTTGCCTCTGTCTTCAGGGACTCATACTGTTTCTGTCACCGCTGCTCCACCCCTAAGCATGAAATAACACCTCTTTCGCCGTGATGTTTTCTTACTATTGCGTCTTGCTGGACCTCAAGTTCTTTGTATAAAGGCTCATAGAGATCCCTGGCTGAGCTGGAATTTGCTACCTTCACCCCACTCAAGCAGTGGGGCTGCTTTGGGTTGTGATCCAGGAGAGAAATGGTGAGACTTACCCCAGCTAAAAAAAAGTGAAGTCGACGCTTGCAGGGTGGTAAGTGTCAAAGAAGCTATTTTTGAACTTCCAAGAAAATACTCCAGCCACAGAAGAGTTACTTCTCTGAGGAGCCATTCCTCCCAGCACAGTACCCATCCGGGAGCCCCCCTGTGTTGCTGACTCCAGCCCTGGCTGTTGCAGGGAATGGCATCATCCAGGCCCTTCTATAAACGGGTCAAAATTAGCAAGGATGTTTTGTAAGGGGTGCTCCAGACCCCCATTGCTGTGATGGTGAGAAACTTTTTCTTTCCCCGAAACCTGTGTTTATGGTTGGTTTGTACCCATTTAGCATGTATTTATGTTCAGGCTGCCAGACTGCGGTTTCTCCAGACACGAAGTATTTTCCTGTTGACTGGCTGGGAGTGGAAGTAACCAGAGCGACGCTTGGGATCATCGGGATGGGCAGCATTGGGTACAGAGTGGCTCAGAGAGCCAGAGCCTTCGACATGAGGATCCTGTACCATAACAGGAACCGGAGGTAAAAACGTCTGGTTTCTGCATGTAATTGGTCAGGGGGCAGTGACGGAAACCACAGCTCTGCTGTGTCCCCGATCTTCCTAGTGTTACGGAAATTACACATGCCGGCCACCATAACAGGGTTCGACTCCAGGTTTCCGCTGAATCAATAAGCCGAAAAGAGATTCGTCTATAAAGTCCTTTTTATTAATAGTGCTACAGCTCTAGCTGTGTGCCTCCAAAGAGGGACCTCGAACACAGAAATCCCTAGGCAATTATACCCTTGCGACCTAAATTCCCCCCCCCTCATGCAACAGTTCAGACCAGTAGTAATGTTAGGGTCTGGGGTCTTCCCGTTCTTCATTAGGTCCTTTCATTGTCTCTAGGCGGGCCGTTTCTTTTCTTACCTCTAAGGTTGCAGCTTCTGTTGATGCATGTAGCTTCCTTACCTTCTGTCTTGAACCGGCTCTGGTGCCTTCTTTTACTGGACTAGGTAAAAGTTCAACATACCTAGGTGAGAGTTCACAGCTTGCCGCCTAAGGCTTCAGCAAATTTAGCTACTAATGCTAAGCAAGTTGTGCTAAACAAGTTCTATATAAGTAGTATACCAGATCGCACAACACCAGGCACTTGTGACAGTTATAAGCAGCATGAGGAGCACCAGCGTGCCAGCGCTTCCTCCCTTTGGCTCCCTACTGCTCCCCTCGAGAAGCAGCTCCCCCTCACCTCCTGCACTTGCTCTGCCCTGGTTAGCTACCAGCAGTTTGGAACAAGAGCCATGTAACCTTTCTGAAGATGTTGTCCAAGCAAACCAGGCCTTGTGCCCTCGTTGTGTCCCCTGTCCTGCCAAACTCTTCTTCAGGCTTCTGGCAGCATTCCTGGCCCACCCAGCCAGTCCCTCAGCCCAGCCAGATCACTCATCACACTGGCACCAATGACAAGTGTCTTAACTTCTCTTAGTTTTATAGTTCCCTTTCTCTGAGACTTCACTTCCTCTTTATTCCTTTTCCACCCCAAGTCCTAACTCGCATGTCAGGCAAGGAGAGAATCTACAGGGATTGGCACAGATGCAGGAGAAAAGAGTGGGGTCTGACTGCATCCCCAACCTCCCATACCTGGTAACACCTATGTGCTTTGCTTTCACACATACATCACTCCTTCAGTGTCCCGCCACTCCTCTAGCCTCTTGCTCCCTCTAGCCCACATCCTTCCCTCCTCCCTTCCACCATCTGTACCTATCAATGTCTTTTCCTTTACCTTGGCCTCAAACCTCTCAATCTCTGTGCTGTTCCAGATCTCTCCTAGGGTTGACTGATGATTGGTAAAACCAGTTAGAAATAGTTGTATCAATTTGGGTGTGTGTGCATTTTTCCTTTAGAAGAAAGGAGGAGGAAGAGGCAGTTGGTGCCCACTACTGTGAGAAGATGGAAGACTTGCTGCAGCAGTCTGACTTTGTTATGTTGGTTGTGAACCTGACTCCTGAGACTCACAAACTGATCGGGAAAAAGGAGCTGGGGCTGATGAAACCCACAGCTACTCTTGTAAACATCAGCCGAGGTAGGACGGTCTAAAAGCACTGTTTGTGTCTCCACAGTTAAGGTTGTGTTTTGTCTGATTATGTTGACATTCTCCCCCCCAACCTCAGTCTGTGGTACCCCTGTATTGTTTGAGTCATGAAGTAGCTGGCAGTCTACAAATGAATGACTTATCATAGATCAGATGCTATGTGTTCAAAGGTCCTCTGGAATTTAGGGATGTTCGGCAGATGTTCTGTTCTCTTTAGCCTTATCTTAAAGACAGCTTTTTTTAGTGGAAATAACTGAAAGGTTTATCATCACTGATGATGAATGGGGTACAAGAAAAACATAAGTTTCATTTGGAACAGCTATGTAGAAAAGAAACCTCACATGGGATTACAGATCTGTTGGCACTGAAGAAGCATATAAGAGAGAGATTATAGTTTCAGTAAACAAAGCAGAGATAAAAGAGTGGAAAGCTTGAAGAGATTAAATGATTTGTCTATAATAATACAGGAAGTCAGTGTCAAAATGTGGAAAAGACTGAAACCAGTCACATCTCGGAAAAAGCTTTATGCAGTGGACCATAATCCTCCTCTAATTAAAGATTAATAAATAAAATCTCTGTTTTGTTTGGTTAATGGTTATTAGAAAGACATTCTACTTTCTAACAAGATGAAGATCCTGTAATTTTTCTCACTAGACCCTTGAGACCTTTCCCCACTCCCAGGTAAAAACATGTTCATTAACTCGTCACAATAGCAAGATTTCATTTCGATGCAGGTGCAGTTATTGATCAAGATGCATTGGTAGAAGCTCTCCAGAATAAGGTTATTAGGGCTGCTGCTCTGGACGTGACATACCCTGAGCCTCTGCCAAGGTAGAGAAACCTGTTTTCCATTCTATTAATCTGAAATGTTTTAAACTGTGTGCAAAAGTATGCTCATAATCTTGATCTCCACGGGGAGTCTCTCTCACTGTTTAAAGGCAAAACCTCAGCCTGTCTCACACAGTCATTAATAAATGACAGACTATTCGCCTTTCCCACATCTGTCAGTTCTTTGCCAGCCTAACTGACAGGCAAGGCAACAAGACCAATAGAGAGGAAGAAGAAATGGGTAAGCAAGCTTCCCACAGCTTTCTGCTGGTTCTGTGCTTGTGGCCCTTTTATCTCAACATGCTATTGCTGTTTCCTGAGGTTCAGTTCTTAACAACTAGCATGGGATAGCTGCAGAGTAAATTCCCTGTGTAATACATTCTGTTCTTTCTGTTTCTTACAGAGATCATCCTTTATTAAAATTAAGTAACATCATCATAACCCCTCACATTGGAACCGCAACCGTCCAAGCTACCCGTATGATGGCAGAAGAAGCAATAGCAAATATGCTGGCTGTTCTCAATGGCCAACCCATTCCAAGTGAAGTGTTTCCCAAATGATGTGTGCCAGATGATATCACTAAATCTCATATGCATGGGAAGGCACTATTTCTTACAATACCACTTTAAAAAAAAGCAACCTGTTCTGCACTGCTCTTGTTGTCATGATACTGCAAAGCTGTCATCTCACTAGACTTGATCTGTACTGTTATTTATAATTCTGAAAAATTAAGTGGAACTAATAAAAGGGATTTGTTTGAAGATTTTAAACTGAGCAGTTACGCACTTTGATATCTTCAGTCCATTATTTCAATGAATACCTGTGTTCTGTTCCCAGTACTTGCTGCTACATAATGATAAGCAAGTACACCAAGCAGTTTGTGTAACACTCTCAAATATATTAAAGGTGAATTGAGCATTAATTCCCTGCAGAAATTTGACTGTATCCTGAAACACTTTTCAGCCAATATGGCAATATTCTATTTTTATATCAAAACACTGAAGAAAGCAGACTCCTTTGAAATGATCGTAGGCCTAAGGTTTTCTAATGTAAGAAGAGCTCTGCTTCATCTACATGTTAAATCATAGCAAAGCCAATCATTGAAAAAGTATCTTTGATTTTCCTGAGGGTATCCTTTGAAAACCAAAGTAAATCCCAAGAGATTTAGTTCCTCCATGCAGACAAAAATGATGCTTTTATCTCGACTGGCCATGAAACAATGGTAGATCTACCACTGAAATCACGTGGGTGAGGGCACAGCCTAAAGCAAAATTAGTGATCAGTCCTAACTTCCAGCCCAGGGCCAAGATTTTTCTTACATTCTCTTTCCTATGAGCAAGCAACAAAGTCAGAAAATTTAGTAAAATGTTTGTCACCTCCATAAAATCTGAAAGCCTTTCCATTATTTTGCAATATGGTCAGGCTTCTTGAAGGGATGGTAAAATGAAGTTCTAGCACAGGAACTGTAGACAGGCCAAGAGTTAGACATTCAGATGCAAATAGTGAAATACTACTAACAAGACAACAGCCAATATTGCCATAGGGGATTCCAAGATCTGTAGCCCTTGAACAGCTCTCCCCGCAGCTATTCCCAAAATTCCTATGGAAAATCAATGGTAGCTGTAAATAGTCTATTTAAAAAAAAAAAAAAAAGGTGTCAATTCACAGACCCTCTGGGAACCACAAACAGTCAGTGATTCCCACAAAAAAACCCCATGCTTTAATTTGAGTGCATAAGTCCTTCTTGGAAAACACTTGCCTAAGTATCTATTATTTTGTTAACTTTGTTTATTTTGTCAGGAGAAGGCACTGCAGTTAAGAAGTCACTGGTGTCTCTTCAAGACAGGAGGCTGCAAAAATCTCTGCAAAGAAGCATTTAAAAATTAACCTGGTAACTCGAAGTTCATGATGAAGCCGTGCAATTTATTTTCACGAACTAGATTTGGTCCATTTTTCTACTTACTACTTCTACAACTAATTACACGCGGTAATTTGTGATTTCAGGGTAGGGAGGGAGATTTATTGATGGTCTGAAACTAAGTAATCAATGAGAAATAATTGTGTGTTATGAGACTGGTGACAGTGATATGAAACCTTACATAGCATGAGGGACAGAACTTGTTCAGACTTGATTATGTGAATACCTGTGTGTGTGTGTATAATTGGTAATATACTTAAAAGAGCTGCTTTCTTGTCTTGGTTTGTTTACCTCTGTCCTGGTTTTGGCAGGGATAGAGTTAATTTCCTTCCTAGTAGCTGGTACAGTGCTGTGTTTTGGATTTAGGGTGAGAACAATGTTGTTATTATTAACAACTTAGTTGTTGCTAAGTAGTGCTCACACTAGTCAAGGACTTTTTAGTTTTCCATGCTCTACTGACTGAGAAGGCTGGAGGTGCACAAGAAGCTGGGAGGGGGCACAGCCAGGACAGCTGACCCAAACTGGCCAAAGGGACTCACACTAGTAGGACTTTTTAGTTTTCCATGCTCTACTGACTGAGAAGGCTGGAGGTGCACAAGAAGCTGTGAGGGGGCACAGCCAGGACAGCTGACCCAAACTGGCCAAAGGGAT